TCAGTAGATAAATTGTAATTTTACATCCAGACACCTTGACTGAGAGAACCATCTCTCTGACCAAGTGATCTTTAGATTGTGAGGTGTTAACCTGTTCAGTTTTAAGTATTATAAAAATTCCCGATTTTGGGCCTTAATTATATTGAGGGTATAAAGGCAATCATTCAGCTCCATTTTTTTTATGCCCTTGTTATGTTTCTTAGCTCTTATATATATATTTTTTTTAGTACTTTTTAGTCCCACTGCTTCTATCCCTGAGTTTGGAAACATGTAATCATTAGTAAGAATCCTGATGAATATTTTTTTTTTTTTTTCTTTTTTTTCAATTTCTGTGTCTGGCATTTTACGCTAATAGAGGAAGTATCAGCCAACAACCCAGCTTTCACTCAGTCAAGACTATCTGCAGGTCTTTCATCTCAAAATTTTTCATTGTTATTTATTTAAAAACTACATTTTACTTTTTCATAAAAAAACAAAAAAAAAAAAAAAAAACAAAACAGGTTTACATTACTCAGATGACACAGTGTGTGTGTGTGTGCGCGCGTGTGTTCGTTTGTTTGTTTGTTTCACTGACATGAGGTAAGTTATTCAGCTTGCTTATCTACAAACATACCTTAGTTTTCTATAGTACCACACAATTGTGATAACTCATAAAAATATTAGTTGGTTCTAATATTACTGTCTATTCAGGGTATACTTTTCCTGGATATCCTTATCTAAAAATTGCCAGACATTTTTTGGCCTCAAATTCAGAGTCCTTAGAGACTAGCTTTGGGTCACAGCCAAAGCAGTCTACCCTGCTATTCACCCAATCAGCTGAAGAAATGAATTCAAGACTTTCCCCAAAAGCATTTGTGCCAAAGTGAACACAAGAAACTAGACTAGAATTTGAATAATAAGCAGTGCCCACTTAAAGAAAAACAAATAAAAAATTATATATTGTCATTCAAAATAAATTAAATTACTCTGAAATTAACAACCAGACAAGTGAGGAGTGAATGCATTCTTAAGCAAGGATTCAGTTGATGCAATACACTGAATGTTATGAAAGCCAAAAATAAAAAATAGATGAATAAAATCATAATTAATTAGAATAGAAGACTAAGTGATTAAGAATATTTAATAGGGGATGCTAGAAAGTCACAAAGAGTAATTTTTAGTGATGAATGCAAGAGAATATACAAGACCAGACCAGTGGAAGACATAAACACACATCACATGCACACAAAAAAAAAAAAAAAAAATTTTTGTGAATGAAGATGTTCAACTTTTTGAAACACTGGCCAATACACATTCCTAATTTCAATAGGATCAAACTATTGTGATTGAAATTGAAGAAATAAGTGCTGCAACAAAAATCATGCAATTTCCAAGAGCTTTAAGATTGCTGCCTAGAATGAGGAAAAATTTCCAATGAGAAAATCTGGACAGTCTTCCATTTAATTGGGGCAATTCTTTGAACCAAGAGAAGCAATAGTAAGTACTAACTTCATATTTCTTTTAACTGAATTTTTTATATGGCATTTTTTCAGCATTACTATGCTTAAAATACTGCATTTTTGTTTATGCTGTTTGGTAGATGAGAGAACAACTTATTTCTTAAACATCAAGAATCTTAAAAATGTACTAAGAAAAGTATACTGATAAAATTAAGAATTTGCTAAAGTGGCCCACAAGTTTTGTATGCCAGTGTATATATTGGTGTCATAGCCAGTTGTGTAGTTTGATCAATATAATATATATCTGAATTATTAATCCCTAACAGTAAAATAATAATAATTGAGATTGAAGTAGCTAAAAAAAAAAAAAAAAAAAAAAAATCAAATGTTAACCTTGAATAGAAATACATTATAGCTCCAGCACTCTCCTTATACTACAGATTTTCAAAAAAAAATTTCAGTTTAGAAACTTTTAAATTACCAGCTACATGACAGAAATAAGTGCATGTCATACATCCATACTATAGTTAGCTTGAAGAAACATTGCTGTGTAAAGATTTGCCCTACGATTGATGCCTGTCAGGAATATCTGATAAGTATTGATACTGAACTTTCAAAATTAGTGTCTGACCAGTTTATACAGCAACTGGATATTTTTCTCAAAACAATGATCACCTCAGGAAATCTTACACAAACTTAGTCTTTAAATTCCTTGCTCTTCCCATGTGCATTCATATATATATATATATATATATATATATATATATATATATATATATATATACACGCACATACATTCACCACACACAAAGATTCTTTGAATTTTCAGTTACTTTGTTTAAATGCCAGATTTTTTTTTTTTTTATAAAATAAATTTTAAAGTAATATCCTGTTTTACTCATCAATTGAATGAAAGCAATCCCATTAAAAATTATGTTTATGTGCTCAAATCAGTTATGCAAAGAAAATACCACCACCTAGACTTGTTCAGATGGCAGACATTTGGCTGCACTAAAGAGATTACATAGGAATTGCTATTATGTACTAAAGTGGTTCCAACCTACCAAGCCAGAGGTGGCAGTGTCACATTGTGGAGAGTAACCAACAATTAAGTTAGAACCATCTTGAGTTTTACCTACAGGATATTACTGAAGCCCGCCATCATTTTCTAGTGGTACTACTATGTCCCTAAATTCATTGAGGTTTCTGCAACTCTTCATGCACACGTTACTGCACATCTCTAAAAATGTCAATAGTGAAAGCACCATTTCTGAAATGGGTTTGAAATTTTACCTTCAGTCATTGAAGCAACATTAGATTAGTTAAACCCTGCATCTGATTTTGTGCAAAAAAAAAAAAAAAAAAAAAATCATGAAAAAACTATACCCATAATAATTGATATCCTTAATTTACAGTGAGTGTTGTATAAAAGGATTCCTAAAGGACTTTATCCAGACAGTAGAAAAATTACTTTAATGGAGACGGACAGTGTAGTGTTAGAGAATAGTTTTACACCCATTTGAGAGAGAGGAAGTAATGGGAAGACAGCAAGCTGAAGGTCGGTCTATTACGGAGATCTAATTTACTGAACCCCCTCAAGAGGATAATCAGCACAAGATACCAAGTATCATTGATGAAGAATATACTCAAGGAGGTAATGTAACTCCAATATTGAAAACAATTATTGAAAGACAATTAGAAAAAGTATGATAAAGTAACTAGATGAGCTAAGAATGTAACTGAAGAGTTCCATAAGGCACAGAACGTCTGGAACTAATGTACAAAAACGTTAATTGAGAAATGAACTTAGGACCTTGTGAAAAAGAAACTCAATATAATTGAGCATGTCAAAACCATGCACTTTTTAAGTAGTAATATTGTATATAATACAATTTCATTGCAAACCAAATAAGAATGTGTTATCCATAGCATAGACCTTTGTGTACACACAAAAAAAAAAAAATAAATAAAAAATGCAGGTTTAGGTTAAATATTTTAAAATATTAAAGAGAGGGAAGAAAAAAGACATTTTCTCAAATATAAATCTTGAGTGAATAGATAGCAAAATTGTGGGTAATAAACCACAAAAACAGTAGTAACACTGATTTGTAATACAAAGTTTTTTTTGTTTTTTAAATAAACACATTAGGAAAGGGTATGGTTGGTTATTCTAAATGATTAGCTAGTTAAGAAAATTTTATATCATGTTCTATGGAATATTTTATATTGGATATTACAGGAAGAAGACACTAGCTGAAACCTGCTTCAAATCTATTACTCCAAATGAATCAAAATAAGTTTTATTATTATTATGCACACAACAACAAAAATAAAAATGAAAGTTCAGGATGTTTTGTTTTTGTTTTTAATACCAACTTTTATTAACACCAAATCTGTCAAAACAGGTGTATTCACAGAGCCATGTGTACGCCAGCTGAAACAATATTAAGGACAGAATTTTTCAAGTCGGCAGCTAAATTAAGACAATACTGCTTTAATAACAGCATTTTTGGAGGGGAGGGAAATGGTGAAGGACTTTCTGCACAGAGTTGACAACATTAACTAACAAATTTACCTAACAATCACTGAAAGAAACACACTGTAGATTGTTGCAGCAAGTGCCACTAGTGTTTTTGTTTAAATCTGAGCAAGCTGTGATGGAAACAGAAGTGTTTAATGATAGGAATGCTAAGATATAATGAGCATGAGAAATGAAATATACAAAAATGACGGAAACGATATGTGCTATTATGAGATTTGCTAGTTATATAAAACGGTGGCAGCGGCAGTAGGTACCATTATGAGGGAGAGGAGAACATTAAGAGAAGAGGAAAAGAAAAAAGAAAAATTTTTTTTTTAAAACTTTTATAGGCCTACTATTACCCAAAGCAGGCAACAAACTTAACTGAATATTACCAATCAGCCAACTGACCAACCAACTACAGAAAAATGCAAAGAATCAATGAAATAGAAGAGTTTCCGTCCAAGTTTTCTTTCTGAAAACTTACATTTTTTTCTTTAACATTTTTGGGTTTTTTTAAAATATAAAAATAGTTCCTTCACTATAATTATCACCATTTATTAAAACTAGAAGGAGAAAGTGAGTGCAAAGGATAGTAGCATTAGAGAATGAGTAGAAGCTAAAATGTTGGAGGAAGAGGATGGAGAAGTATAAAAAAAAAAAAAAAAGTACAGAACCAATAGAGGTAAGAAAGGCAGAAACAACAACAATAACAATTGCTGCTGTTACTGCTGCTACAGTTTTTGTTGGCTATGGTAGCAGACTGCTATTGTTTTTTGTTACTGCCACTGCTGCACCATTTACAGCCGTATACATAAGTAAACAACGCCTGTAATTTCATATTTACAGCTGCCATTGTAAGATCTAATAAGTGATTAAAAATCTTGGTCTTTTTAGGAAGGGCAGATTTTCATTCACCCAGTTGTGTTCTTTATCTTTTTCTTTGTTAAGATAACCTTTTAATACATCTTCTCTTGCTGTTTCCAATTCCCCCTTAAGTGTTGTTGCTGTGGTTACTTGCAGCACAGTTAATTCAGTCATCAATATTTCTCAGAGAATTTCCGCACGCTGAAATAAAGAAAAAAGGAAAAGTGTTACTAGCAAAATAAAAAAAAATAAAATAAAATTATGAAATTACAAACAGAAAATATTTAAATTATATATAGTAAGAAATGGAAATATAGCCACACGGTTGATGAAATAAAATTTAGTCAAGTTTTGCTGGCTGATAAAAATGGCATAACTGGGAGAGGTTCAGAAAGCCATGAATAATTTAAAAAGAGGATAACTAATTAATGAAACATTTTATATTAGTTATTTGAAACACTATGATAATTTGATGGATTAGTGAACAGCCAGTCTACAGCTTAAATTCAATTGTCAGATAAATATTGACAACTCATTTTTCATGCACTTTTGAACACTGCACTATGGTAGGGAGATCTGTAGTGTGAATTATTTGTAGAAAATTCACACTTCTACCTGCTACAGGAAAACCATTGTGAGAAAAAGATCAAGAAAGCTAAATGGTGCCACTTACATTTTCAATATTCAAGAATTTTTGCAAAAATTAGTAAATATAGACTAGTAACAAGCAGCCAAAATTCTGCTGCTATTCTAGAAAATGAAATTTGGAGGGGGGGCATCATATTTCAAAACTGCTATATAAATAAGCAAATAAGACAATTTACAGTAACTTGGAATTTTATTCACATTAAACATTAGGAAAAAGAAGCATGACAGGAGTGGCTAAGATAAATTCAATAATTCTAAATATAGATTTATTTCAAAATTTTTACAATGACAACTGATTAAAAAGAGAAGATTGCTCTTAGTAATATAATTATTTTTAAGATTAAAAAATTTAAACATTCCCTTAACATGCAAATAAAGCAAGTCAATATGTCATGCATGCAAATAAGTACATGTAATAATATATCACTTATTTGCATACACATTGATATTATATACAGTTGCCATTTATACAGTTGTGCATGCACTCAAAACTGTTCCCAGATGTTGATAAGGAGAAGTAGTAGTATTAGTAGTGGATGGTGAAGTTTAGCAAAGCAGTAATTTAGACCTGAGCTATCAGCATGAGGCAAAAGAAAGATTTAGGTATTAGGACTGGAAGTTAGTTGGTCCAGTGAGAATCATTCCATCAGTAGTAGAAGGGTTAAGGATTAGTGGGTTGGGTGGGAGAGCCTGTGTATGTGTCGCTGCTACTTACATCCATGGTTCAGGAAGATAATGATTCATTGTTCTCTGACTACACAACAACAAAATTCATTAGTCTTCCAGACCATGAGTGCCAGAGGTTAGTTACAAGCCAAGTGCCATCACCATGTGTCATGCAGATCATTATCACCACCAGCCACCACTTGCCAGGCACCCAATGAGGTCGACTGGCACAAACCAATCACATTCAAATATTAGTTACAATTCATCCCATTCAAACAAAGTTTCAAATGATTACAGATTTAAACAATAGAAAACATTTTATGAATCAATTCAGAAAATTTTGCCTTAATCTTGAGAACCTCATCTTTGAAAAATGAAATCACATTGAGAGACAACCAAAACAAGGTATTTAAGGGGGGATCGAAAAGTGTCATCACAGAACATTAATCATCACCAATACAAATACCACTATCCTTAAAGAAACAAAATAAAAATAAAAAATACCAGTCCCCCCCAGTTGATGTAAAATTTGGAAGTAATTTCTGGTCTAGTACAAGCAGGAACTCAACATTTATTGGAAGTGTCTAAGATGAAGTTTAAATACAAACCATTTTATAAAAGTTTCATGTAATTAATGTTAGATTAGTTCTGAATAAACCCAAAAAGCAAGTTAAAGTCTTTGAAGAAAATAGTCACTAGCCAATAGAGGTTATCTCAATTCATTTTCATACACTGTCAGATTTTTCTAAAATTACCACATACTGTCAATTTGATAAAAATTAACTTCTTGAAATGTGAAGAATCACTTTAACAATATGCAAAATAATGATTTCCATCAGCAGTGTCTCCTACCTTGACTGCCATTTTATGTTCATTCACATCAGAGACATCTGAAAGAAATCAGCAAAAACTATGGAGTTCCAGAGAAAGCTTTCCCTTGCTCATCAACAAGTCACATCTTTTTTGCTGCCCCATATTGTTCCATTGATGAAATACTTTTGTTTTCAAATATTTGCCTATATTACCTAAATTAACAATTTAAGATTTCTTTAAATACCTAATATTTATGATAAAAAAAAAAAAAAAAAAAAAAGGGTGGGGGGAATAAAGCGGTGCTAAATGTTCATGGAACAGCATACAAAAGGCCCTCCGGAAAAATAAAAATAAAGACAAGACAAAACAAAGAGAATGGGCCATGCATTAATCAGCAAAATTACCTCATGCACAAGCTAGAAATTGATGAAATGGACAGTAACTAGAAATTAATGTGAAGACAAAAGGTTAGTAACTGATTAGGAAAAAAAAATAAATAAATAAATAAAATAAAGCTGTGGAAGGACCTTGACAAGTAATGGAGATTAAAGAAAGTTAGTAACATCTGAAACAAAATACTTCAATGAGAGAATGATAGGACAATTTTCAGACCAAAACTAACTTCTCTTTCACATGCACAAACAAAAGGCAATTGAAAAAAAGTGATCATGCTGACCTGTTTTGCAGCAAGAATTGTGCAGCATCTATCTGTTCCTGGGTGCCTGTGATGGTAATTATCCGGTCATTAGAGCCAGGCAGGGCTTCATCTATGACAACCTGGGCACCTGACTGACGCCGAACCTCTGTTATACGATTACCCCCTCTTCCTATGATTGCACCAGCAAGCTGAAAATACAAAATAAGAATTTTCTGTTTACCCCATCAAGCCTAAATTAATTCAACTGCTGTACTACTTTAAGAATAAAGATCTATAAAATTATAAATCTAAGTTTCAGAGCGATTTAAAAAAAAAAAAAAAAAAAAAAAAACAAACACGTATAAAGTATCAGGTATATATTACACTGCACTAATCCAATCCGTTGAATGTAACATAGCAACAGCTTCATAGAACCACTGAAGACTTACAGATTCCATAAAATTAAATAATCTAATGTCAAAGAAATAAAACATCACTTACATCTTTAGGAATGGTGACTTGTGTAGTCGTAGTCTGTTCCATACCAAACATCATTCCTTGCTGGCCCATTCCACCCTGGGACAGAAGGCAAAGATACAATATTTGAAACATGCACACAAAAAAAAAAAAAAAAAAAAAAAAAAAAAAATCAATCAAATATATAGCAAAAATAAAAGTGCAATAACGTACCATGCTATCCTGGGCAAAATTCTGTTGACCTCCATAAAAGCCTTGACCACTTCCACCTCTTCCTGGGTTGACAAATCGATTATCTGAAGAAAAAAAAAAAAAAAAAAAAAAATGTATCAAAGATTGTGGCTTGAATTTAGACTAGTCCTTAGTTTAAACTAATTTGACATAGTTATAAAAGAAATCATTTCTAAAACTTACCACCTCCCCGGCCACCTCGTGCTCCCATGTTACCATTCATAGCACCTCTGGAATAAATAAGATCGGAAACATGAAAAATGGCTGTTAAAAGTAGAACTTTTTTCCAATAATAATAAAAATAAATAAATAATAAATTGAAGAGTTGAGAAATCTTTCATGCTTTTATTAATAGCAACACTAGTTTAACATTTAGTAGAATACAAAATAGATAGAAGATTTCAGTAATGAATAAGTGTAAATATTGTTCTTATGCATGCAAAAGAAGGAAAAGTTTATTACCTTGAAGACAATATATATATATATATATATATATATATATATATAATGGTCAAGAGCTCCAGGACAAAAAAAAAAAATCTACTTTCCCCTGACAGAGGTTTAATATTTAACAAATTGCAATTTAAGCTCAGAAAGGGAAAAAAAACATTAAAGATTATTTTTAAAGAATAAAAGATAGCACTTTTGCTATCAAAAAGAAAGCAAACCAAAGTTGTCTCAAGTGTTTTGGAGCAGCATTCCAAGAAAAGTTTCAAAATATTAGTAAGGGTTTTTTAAAAAAAAAAAAAAAAAAAAAAAAAAAAAAAAAGGAGATACAAGGGCAGGTGTAAAGAATTAAAGAATGATAAAACACAAGTGGAACCAGTGATACCTCTAGACAGAAGTTGGGGCCACAGCAGAAATATACACTTACAGCTGATGTGGTAAGTAAGGGCAGGCTCTCAATGTATGAATAATAACAGCACAGGTGAAGATTGACATGGAAACTATTTAATTCATCAACTAAGAAAATAAATGCAAGACTGAATAGAACCACCTGCACAGAGGAGGGAATGAAATTTTATAGTAAGTTTATCTTTTTATATCTTATTCTAAATCAAGGAACTGACTAATTTCTAGATAATCAAAACCTGCCAAAGAAAGGGTGAAGAAGAACAGTCTGCACCACACTTGTAGAGTAGAGACTTTTTTTTCTTTTTTGAATGGGTAGGTTCCTTTCTAGAGGTATCTCTGCTGCAAAACTAACTGTATTTATGCGTGTGTGTGTGTGTGTGTGTATGTGTGTAAATGTATGTATGTATGTGTGGTTTTATTACCTCATTCCTCCAAGTGCTGGCAGGTTTCCATCATCTCTGCCCCCGTTGCCACCGAGACCGCCATTGCCATAGGGGAGAGCAGCACCCATGTTGTTCCTACCTCCAGTAAGGCTAGGTAGTCCACCCCTGCTCATGGAGCCAGACCCTCCCCTGCCCATATCTCCCATGCCTCCAGACGTACCTCTGAAAATTTCACAATTCAGAGTTATTGGCAGCAGAAATTTGATATGAATCAAAGTGTTTGTTGTAAGAAAGAAGGAAACAAGAGCTGAACAGGTTTGACAATATTGTAGTCCCCACCCCACCCCACCCCTTTAGGTCAGAGTTGAGGCCAGCAAGTGGACAAACAACCTGATGTTACATACAAATGCTATCCAGGTGAAGACAGTTGTGGAGTTTCAATATATAAATGTGATAAAACTTAAGCCCCTTTAGTGTGCACAAGGGATTTTAATTCAAAATTCTATAAATAGGCAAGTGAGAGTTTGGGCAAATATGGAGAGGGAGACAACTGTTTTTACAATGTAAATTGATAAATTCTATTTGAAAAGTAAGCAAGAGAATAAAAGATTGAACAGACCAGAAGTGGGGATTAAATAGATCCTTATGCAAAAGGTTGAAAAAACTAAGACAAGGAATTGCATTTCCAGAAATTGGTATCAAAGTAGCTCTAATTTAAAGAGACTAAGAATTACTGATTTAAAGAAACCAGTCTTGTATTTGTAAGAAAACATTTTTAGCAAATGCAAGTTACTTTGACCATTAGCCTATTCTAAATATCCACAACATTACAATTAGTGTCTTCAAGTGACAAACAAAATATGGGGGAGGAGTCTATTTTTCTGTGTCATAAGTCTATATCAAACATCAATGAGCAAATAACAAAAATCATTTTAAGAATCAGCTCAGCCAATCAAAAGTTGGCAAATAAAAAAAATAAAAAATCCCCGCCATTCCATTGCCACAATGAATCAAATACAACTGATTTATTAAATGATCCAATAAAATTTAGAAAAGTTTGAGGCAATTATGAAAGTAAAATTAACATTATTTCAGTGCATGGCATGAAAAAGATAGAACAATTTGATAATGAGGAAGAAAAAAAATAATTACATAGGTTTTACAAAACTAACCTTCCTCTCATCTGTGGGCTCATCAATGGAGAGACTCCTCCTCGTGGAGGTGGGGGAGGGGCACCGCGGGGCAATTTCCCTCGGCCTCCCTCAGCAATGGTGTAGCCGCCATAGTCATGAGCATAATACTCATCATAATTGTGTGGATCATATGGCTGGTTCACTCCTTTAGGTGGGGCCTGAGAGTCAAATAGGGATTTATTTTATAATTACATTTAAGTCACCTATAAATAAACTGAAAGCTGAAACTAATTCATTAAATTACCCAAAGAAACACTAAAAAGCAAATCATTTTAGTTTTTAAAAGTCACTTAGGTAAAATAAGAAGCTTTGTAAAATAAAAATGTTTAATTTCATTTCTTTCTTGGGTATCTATCACTTCAAAATGATGCCTTTCAAACATTTTAAAAAGATTCTAAAATAATGAGAATACAGCATAGAATAATTCATCAAGCAGGAACATACATTTATCTTATTGAAGTTAGTATATTAAATATATCAATAAGCTAAGATCTATTCAGTTATAGAGAGATCCAAATTTCTCAACCTCTGCCAACATTTATGTACATTTTTTTTTTTTTTTTGAGGGGAATTCTTAAAAGAAACTTTTTTGAGTTTCTTTTTAGCAGCAAAAAGACTAAAACCAAATACGAAGTGCCAAATTGTCAAACTTTGAACAAAGCAAACAACTTACCATTTCTAGAAGCTTGTAAATATTTCTTATACAGTCTGTGACTACAACAGGCCTTCCTGAGATAGCAACAACACGATCTGTTGATTGTGGGCAACATGTTGAATAAACTTTTATGTTGGCCCCAGTTTTCTAAAACAAAAGAGCATTTTAATAATAGTAAGTACCAATAAGTGAAGGATTGAACTTTTTTTTTTTTGGACCATACTATTAGAGAGTATGTTCAGCACCTATCATGAAGAAATGATAGGTGCAAATGACTTATTTCATAGAGTGCTTCATTTACTTGTACCAAAGTAAATCTAAAAAAAAAAAAAAAAAAAAAAAAAAAAATCAAGAATTTCTCCAGCAATCTTAAAACTAGCTGTATCCAAAGGATAACAAGTCTTAATTTTTAATTTTGTCAAATTAAGAAATTCATGCTAAAGAATAGTTTAACTTATGAAAATTAACTAAGGGAAAGGTATGAGACACTTACTTCCCTCAGTTCTTTGATCTTGAATCCCGCTCTACCAATGATGCAACCAGCTTGGCTCTGATGAACCAGAACTCTCATCTCACAATCAAAATCACTGTCTGAGAATTGTTTGTACTAAAGAAATGATAAAAACATGGATTTATTTTAAGTATACACACAAAATACAATGAGCTAAACAGATACATAGATTTTATTATATTTAAAAACTATCTTTCTGATTTAGCAACTTCATCACATTGAAAATACATATAAAAAGAATTTTTTTTTTTAAGGAATAGTGAACTTACATCTTCAAGAGAGGGAATGATGTCCATCAAACATTCCAAAGCTGTGTCTATATCGGCACCAATTGTCAAGATTCTGTAAAATGTAAACAACATCTCAATAAAAATCCATCCCTCTGCAATAACAAATGGAAAAGTTAAACCAACACCAAACTAAGCAACTGAAAAGGTTTTCAACTTTATGCTGACACTTCAACTAAATTAAATAGTAAAGTTCCAGTGGAGTATTCAGAATACTGTGCTGCATCAACATAAGCAGCCATTGATGTTGAAAGGATTGTGTCAATAAGAGTACTTTCCTCATATATCTTTATTAGCCCAACAATTAACAGCAAGTAATACGGGACCTTGGAATGTGGAAGTATGTTAAGTCATTAATTTAAAATATTTATTCTTAAAGCCAAATTCAGCTTTTATTTCATAATTTGAATAATTTAAATTAATAGTGAATAAAGAAAATATCCACCCCCAGAGTGTACTTCATGCACTAGTGCATCATTGTTTTTAAATTGCCTGCTCTTATTAGATGGCAAAAGAAAGAAAAAAAAAAAAAAAAAAAGAAAAAAAAAAAAAGAAAAAGAAAAAAGAGCATAAGGGAAGGAAAGAAATCCAAAAGCAGCCTAAAAAGACTGAGAAAAAAAAAAAAAAGTTGTTTTAAATAGCAACAGTATGCTTTGTTAAGCTGAAGCAAAATGGAATTGAATGAACACAAGTGCATGTCCCTTTATGTAGCTAATGGTATTAGAGAGGAAAAAAAAAAAAAAAAAAAATCTACACAATTTATATCCAATCCCAACACTGTTCATTCCAAAACAACCAGAATAGGCAGACAGCAGTTCTCTACACACCCACACAAGGCACTTCTGATAATAATTATAAATAAAATATATAAAAAATAAAATAATAATAATAATAAAAAAAAAAAAAAAAAAAAAAAAAAAAAAAAAAAAAAAGTTTGGAAAAAAAAAAAAAAAAAAAAAAAAAAAGAAAGAAAGAAAAAAAGCTCCACTACAAGAGCTGTTATACTAGGCAGCAGGGTTCACCACGAATTCAGAACTCAATGACAAGAACAAGCATGAAGCTTTAGAAATTACAAGAAAAGTTTTCAGTTTTTAATTTACAGGCTGTTATATGATAAAAGTTTTAAAATGAGATTTTAATGCCCAACTTTTTTTTTTCTTTATATAAACATTAACTTGCATGAATAGACTGGCTAAAAGAAACAAAGACAAAAACCAAAACACCACCACAGAGGCCAACACCACTGGAAAGTGGTCACAATCTTGAGCAGTTAAAAAAAAAAAAAAAAAAAAAAAAAACTTGATAGGAATGAAAAGGCTAATGCTGGAAATTGAGTTCTAAATTATATGCAAATGATGAAAATGCAATGTGTATGTATATATATATATATATATATATATATATTTACACACACACACAGAATTTCATGCTTGTTCTGTGTAATTAAGTCCTGTATGTGGTATCTCCCATCCTCCAAAGTAGTCAACTAGTTATTGGGAAAAATTAGAAGAGGAGGAGAGAGAGCAAAAAAGGGTAGGAAGGAAGAAATAGAAAGAGAAAGGGAAAAATTCAAGAAGAGAGGGTGGGGAAATATGGTGTAGAAAGAAAAGGAAAACTGAGATGTGAGTGGGTAGGGAAAGAAAAAAACCACAAAAACTTTTTTTTTTTTTTAAAATAAATAAAATGAATAACAGAGAAAGACAGAAAAAGAAAGAGAGAGAGAGAGACAGACAGAAAGAGCAAAGAACTTATAAAATGGGCTTTAACATTATCAAACAGTCATAATAAAATGTGTAGTAGTACAATGCAGTAGGGTGCATACCGTTCAGGGCCGGTGCAATCGGGCACTGTAACACTTGCTTTGAACTGCATCATGGACGGACGGACGGACGGGCAGGGATGACGTTCCATGGGTCAGGGACATTCAGGGTCAACAGACGGGCCATTGGTGGACATAGAAGGGCGAGAAGAATGGGGCAGGCAAGATATATATAACAAAGTATTACTACCAGAAATCTTCACAATGGGCATAAAAAGTAATGTAAATGGAATTCATACATTCACTGAACAAGTCAACTTCAACGGGGCTGAGATTCTGTGGAATAAAAACTTGAGGCATTAGTTAAGACAAACTTGCAGTATGAATTGTTACTTTCTGAGAAAGTCTTCAAAAACCTCCTCATGACTAATGTTTAAAGTTTTCTTTTTTCCTTTTTCCTGATGGTTTTCTTTCTCCCCTTGTGGAGCGGGTTCCCGGGAAGGGGTTAGCAGAGAAAGGAGATTTTTGTTAGGGATGATATATACAGATTCACAATGCACTGAGCCTCCCCTGACGGGTGTAAGTGTCTGCTGCCTGGTGAGGAAGACAAAACTGTAGATGTTCTAACCAAGAGCCAAGTCTTGTATTTCAGATTTGCTTAACAGCATACAATCAAGTAACAAAATTATATATTTATATATACACACACAAATGAACTTTTGTTCATTTCCTTACTCCATGGTAAGAATAAATATTCTTTATTTATATATTCTTGCATGCATTGGCATGTTCATACAAATAATACCTACAACAAATAAAGAATGAGTATTAGCCACAAGAAAAATGCAAATTGAAATTTTCTCTGATTAATGCCTTATTGAGAAAGGCTTCATATAATAGGAATATAAACAAGTTGAGATCAGTGAGGTCAATTATTTAATAAAACCAAGTGAATTATTCACATGGTTTGAGAAGCCAACACATGCAACGCACCATTGAAAAACCTGGATTACCATGCATTTGTATCTCTGCAAGAATACCCCTATGAATAAAAAAAAAAAAAAAAAAAAAAAAAAAAAAAAAAATCTAGTCAACAGCTGGAAACAAAGTGAAAGGAAAAATTTAAATGAAAAACTATTTTCTGAACAGAAACTGAAGTTGGAAAAATATTTAAAGAAACATTTGAACTCAAGTCAGACAACTTTCCAAATTTTGTGAAATAAGCTTTAAAAGTTATGATTTTGCGATTTACATTAATAACTAGACAAATCACAATAGAATGGTAGGCAGAGGTAAACAAAGCAATGTCTATTAAAAGTAATTAAACATTAAAAAAATCTATAGAGTTTTTAGTCATTTTAATGAGGTGACTTTTAGGAAAGATATTGCTTTGTATCCATTAATCAACCAATCTCAAGTAATCTTAGATGAAATCAACTGATCTTGTACTACAGAAGTATCTACTGGCAATTAGTACAGAAGGAAAGTTCAACTTTTATTTTCAGAGATGAAAAAGATACAGAAACAAAAATCTCAAACATTTTTATTTATATTAGATTTCAGTCAAGCCTAATGACCATATAAAGTGAAACAGGGTTTGGGTCCTAAGACCAAGAGAAAGTTTACAATATAGAATTCATTTGTAAATACCAATTTGTATTATTGCCCACATTTTGAATTTTCCTTCGTAATGAAGTAGTATGGAAAAATGCAATTCTATAAAGTTATAAACTGCCAGTTCAAGCAAGAAATTGAATGATAGGATAATATTCTGGCTACTGAGCAATGAACAAGGGGTGGAGGGGGCCAGAATTAATCATGTGTGTGCATGTTAAACACGAGATGGTAGAAGAATGATAGATCAATTTAAAAAAAAAAAAAAAAATTAATTAAAGTCTACCTTAACCTGAATGGAAAAACATTAAACTTTAAGTTATCTATACACTTGCTAGCCAAAGAAATAAAAATGAGTACCAAATACTTGATTGGTGAGAGAAAGATTGGCATAATGGGAAAAATATAAAGAGAAAGTTAAAATTAGAAATACTCACATCTTCTCTCAGTCTCTTGATGTTACTACCAGACTTCCCAATGATAGCACCAGCATTCTAAAAAGATAATACAAATCTTCAAGCAAATTTAAAATGAGTCAAAGCATCAATATTGTACTATTAGAGATTTAAGCCAAATCCTCGGAGAGCGAATGAAAAATATGAAAATTTGCTAATCAATATCCACTTGAAAATTATTATGCATACAAATATTTGTGGCTTTAAAAATGGTTATCCTTTTTGAAAATGTTAAATGCACTTTATCTTAACCTTATAGAATGAAACTTAAAAAAAAAAAAAAAAAATATAATTATATACTTCTAAGTAACAAATGAAAGAAACTTTTCTTCAAATTATTCAAAATTTGACTCACCAGTATATGCAAATATTTCTAGAAACAAGTTTAAAATACTTTGGAAAACAATTTCTCATTGTGATGATAAAGATTTGAATTGGAATTGTCTGAATTACCTTACTCTGTAAGAGAATCCTCAACTCTATCCTAGGCCCATCGCCACGAGCTCTCTTCATGGATGAATCCTCTTCATCATCTTCCAATGGACGCTTCATCATACCTGTTGGCCAATAATAGTTAAGTATCACGGGATCTGTTTTAGTCACTAATTTGTACTGTTAAATGCCTATATTTAAATCCAGGTTATTTTCCTTATTTTTTTATTAGAAAGGAATCATTAAGAAACATTCATGTTTATATATATAAGAAAAAATATCCATATATTAGATTGCAAGAACCAGCCATAGAGACAAGTGGTTTCTTCCTTTGTGAAAGCTAACCTACCTGAAAGGGAAGGAGGACAATAGGCTATAATACACAGATGAATGAACAGGGAAGTGGGGGCCAAGGGCAGAATGATATCAGCCAACTAGCTGTCCAGGTTATTCACAAAAACCTCTCAACAAGGTTTACTTAGAAATTGTTTAGAATAAGTTACAGCAAATTCATGGCCCAACGACTCTAAAAATAAAATTTTTCCTGGCTTTGGTAAAAGCTACACATGCCAATTCAAAGATTTATACACATGCCAGCTTACTATTATATTGAAAATTAAAATTTCCAACCAATTACACTTACAGTCTAAGCTTTAAAACAAAGATTAATAATTTACAAGATAACCTAAAAATCATGTACACCAATCAAGAACTGCAGTTTTGCAAACAGCTTGTTTTGGGGGATACACACACACACAATAAGGCAGTAATTTATACTATGAGACAATAATTAAAAATATTTTATTAACTTGGTGGGAGAGGGACCTGTATAGATTACATTAATCTCTTTTCTGGACTGAAACACTTGAAGAGAAAAAAAAATATCTTCAGAAGATAGTAGCAAGCAAGCAAATGGACAAAAATATTTACAAATCTAAAATAAAAATCAAGAGGTTGGCTTATAAGTTTCATAAAAGAAATTTCTAAATCAATTTTATGAGCCTTTTATAGAAGGCTATTTGGGTTGGGTGAGAAAAAAAAAAAAAAAAAAAAAAAAAAAAAAAAAAAGAAAGAAATGCAACAAATTGAATTTTTTTAAACATTAGCCAGAGTTATTTTACATTACTAAAAACAGTAAAAGGTTGGTTGAGATTCAAGTTTATTGAATGGTCAACTTTCCAAGTAGGCACAAGAATTAGTTTTACTTAACTATCACATAACAAAATCATATAGAGAAATTCTAAGACAAGCTATTTAAATTTCTAACTTTATCCAATAAGGTATCGTTTCATCACAAATCTCATTGAAGTGACAAAAATCAACTCATTTTTAAGAATTTTCTTTCCATAGAAACTGCTAAATACACAAGCTAGAGCAGGGAGTATAATAAACTATTTCAAAATGGAACAGTTAAAAGTTAAAATATTCACAATTAATATCACAAGGATACCAGAAGATAATGGACCAAATCAATAGTAAAGTATTGGGAACTTAAGCGTTTTAAAAATTTTGAATAAGAGATTTCAATACAAATTGAAAAGATTAAATGAAAAAGGCTAACAGTTAATACACACATAAAAGTGAGCAAGAGCACAAGAATAGTAATGGTAAATACTTCAGTGATAATGTTCACTTACTGCCAAAGGTTCAGGCTCATTACTGTAAATGGAAACAAGCAATATTGACTAGACTTTCCACAGCTCAACTAACCCAGAGATTAAAATAGCAAAGTGTAACAAAAAGGGCAGTAGTTCAAAGTAGATATTTCCTACCTGGCCGTCCACTGATGTACCAGCACACCACACCTATGCTCAACAGCAGCAACACATCAACATAAGCAGAAGCACAAATGATGTGAACTGGTCTGGCTACTACTACTTAAATGGCTTCTTTTCACCTGTGGTCTCAACAGGTTTTTTTGTTGATACTTAGTCCACCTAGCAACAACCAATCAACATGTGCCAGCATCCTCCTACCTGGCCAACAAGTAGTGGGAGGAGGACCTGCTATTGCTGGAGGTAAGCTTTGTTAAGATACAAACGTGGGGCACAGGTAATTAATAATCTAAGTCACTGATACAAAGACAGCAACAACAAGTGAGTGACAATACAAAAAAGGTAGGCAAAGAAAATTATAAGTGACTGGGAAAAAAAATCATGTAAGAAGTATTAAAAAATTTTTTTTTTTTTGTGGTTAAATCAAGTAAATAGATAACTGACAAGTTTTTTTTTTTTCATTATGTATACAGGGAATGAGAATGACATGTAAAATAATATTAAGATCTCTCACAGTAATTGTAAATTTGTACATTTAGACTGAATTAATTTTCTAGGCCAAATACTGTCTAAAATTAAGAAAATACCATAAAATGTTTAACATGAACAATTGAGAATTTGCTTTAAATTTTTTAAAGCTTTTTAAAAGAAATACCATTAAGATTTACAAGGTTATTCAAATTCATTGTAAGTGAATGTGATTTACCCCCTCACACACACAAAGTTGTAAACACCAATGTCAGGACAAAGATATATTTATTCATCAAAGGAAATTCCGAACCATAACAACAGAGAAAGGGTATGAGAAGTTTAGGGAAAAAAAAAAAAAAAAAAAAAAAAAAAAAAAAAAATCAATAATGCAAAGCCATCAATTTGTACTTTGTGACACCTGCTGCCACTGCATCACCTGGCTGCCATGGTAACATCAAGCTACCAATGACAGCTAAGAAATTGGCCACATTAGAGCTCCTCCCACAATTTCAAAATAAAATCCATTATATATATATATATATATATATATATATATATATATATAAAAAAAAGAGAAAAAAAAAAGATAGTGGAAGGGCCAAAGAAAAGAAAAAAAAAAAAAAAACTTACTTAACTCACCTTCTTTTGCCAAGTCCATGATTTAAGAAATCTGAACTGAATACAATTGGACTGCAGATTAACAAATGAAAGGTGTTGGTTTGATTCTTTTTTGCCTGCACTCAGCAAGTGGTCACCACCTGGTACGACCTTCTGCAAGAGAAGCAAAGTTCTAAATTTGTTTAATATTTAAATTAGTTAAGAGATCATTTATCCAAAAGAATAAAAAGGTAATTTTCAATATTAACAATTCTAAAAATATACAAATGCAAGTGAATAGTTAAGGTAAATACAGTTATCTCATTTAATAAGCATTCATTAATAATAATTTGATAAAACTGTTAGACATTTCACAAGAGATTTTTATAACCAAATAACTAGAAATAAGAATAAATTTACATTAATAAGAATTCTTAGTTAAATATTCTAGCATACTTTCAAAATAGCATTTTTGGAATGGTTCACAGCCTGTTTAAATTTAGTCCTAATTACCTAAATTGCACATAACATACACAAGTAATTTTTCTATAAATGAATTTCTGAAGCTGTAAAAAAAAAAAAAACATATGTAAATTTTTAGGCTGTCTGTGATTCAAAATAGCAATCTACAAATTTGCATGTTAAAATCAGTATGAAACTCACTTTTAAAAGTGCATATGCATGCAAATATGACCAATTCTCATCAGTAAAGAAAGCTCAATAGTAAATACTGATAGAGGAAGTTAAAATAAACCTAATGAAATGAATTATAAAAGAGTCATTAACATGATAGCCATTAAATTCATAATACTGCTGATTAGTTTTCTCCTTAGAAGAGAAAATCTTTACATTTTTTTTTCACAAGATTCCTCAACCACAAATGTGCCACCTTTTTCTAACTGTCTAGTCAAACAAGCTAGTGAGGAAAAGTGTTTTAAGTGGAAATAGAACTATAAAGTGTAAAAAATTGGATGCATGATAGCAAGATGAAACAAAAAAATCTTGCTTGATGACTGCTTTGAAAGCTTAATGAGTTTTAAAGTAACCATTCAGGAACATTCAGAGTACAAAATATAGTTTGTCTAAAACAATCTATGCTCTACCACTGCCCAATTTAGTAGCTAAAAACTGAAGCAGCATATAAATTTTTTTTTTCTTTTATAATAGAGATAAAAGACTAGTTAAAATAAATTATGTTAATTTCCAAGTATATTAAAGTTTACAGTAGTATATAAATGTGCCATATTACTGATGGCCCATTTTTGAATAATCACCTGAAACCTGGTTTGTTTATTATAGTTATTAAAAGTTTCAATCCTGAGTAAATTTCAGTATGCAAGTTTTAAATCTGAAAAGTAGTAGTTCAAAAACATTGATAAAGCAGTGTAGGCATAATTATTAATGACGACAAACTGAGAATAAGACATTTGAGATTTAATAAAAACAAAAAATACTTGAAGACATACATTACAATTAGTTAACGTACGCATAACGTCAGAACTGAAAAATTACCTCCCCTGTCCAGATGGAACTAGATAAATTTGCCACATAATTTCAGCCTTTAAACACACACAGGTGAAAAATTATTCTCTATAAATTGGATAAAAATTAAATGAATGTATAACAAAAAAAAACAAAAAAACTACGGTCTTTTATGTTATTAGTTTGCTATTATTTCCCTACGATAAAGTAAAAATTAATGCCCTAGAATAAATAAGTAGTATTAAAGTCTTCAATTTTAATCATGAAAAGAAAAATAAATTTAAATTAAATTTTAATGTTCACATGTTCTTAACATTCCAAATTTTGAAACCATAAACAAAAAAAAAAAAAAAAAAAAAAACTAAAACAGAGCACCTTTATTTTTATATTTTAATTTTTTTTTTTTTTCCATTTATCCCAGTTGACTTACATACAGAAAATTTATTAAGTAAACAAATTTGGTTGGAGATGATAAAAAAATGTTACCATCAAAACCTTTGTTATTAATATGAACGATCAAAGGATTCTTCGATGTAAAAATTATTTTTAATAATCCTAATTCTAAAAAATTCAAAGTCTTGTTTTTCTGGCATTAATGCTTGACTGTAAATATCTATAAGAAATTTGACAGTCTTTTGCTGTAAAAACCACTTATTTAAAAATTCTTGTAAAGTCAGATAATTGTTGGATGCTAATGAAACTTTCAGAACTTATTCAGAAATTAATGAAATTAATTTTGAAATGTGTTTTTGAAAATTTATGTTACACTCAATTGGTTTCATTTTTTTTTTAAATTGTTTTAAAATTCTGTATTAATTTGTATTGGTCAAGTGATAATGTTATTAAACTAAAACTGTATTTACTAATCATAAACAGAAAAGCACACAATTCAACCACCCCAGGATTTTAAGAATTTGTATATAAATGTATTGATTTTTGTATTTAAAAAAAAAAATTGTTGCTTTCTATTCATGTATTTTTACATCAATTATTCTCAAATTTCCCTATCAGGTTGTCAATAGATCTGTCAGAACCTCAAATATCACCCACTGCAGTGTTAAAAAAAAAAATGCTTTCCTGCGATAAAGTAAACTGAAATTAATGTTTCAATTCAGATTAAACTTTAAATCTTATTTTTCTCAACATTTTATAAGTATATTTTATTTTTGAAATATTACAAAAAAAAAAGTAAAAAAGAATTGTGTTGTTGAGAGATTTGTCAATATGGATGATTTTACTGATAATGGTGGGGGGGGGGATTTCCAGTCAATTTTAATTAGGTATCTCCATAAATTCAGTATACCCAAGGTTGAAATGTATTTTCATAAATGAAGTCTTTCTTGAAATTTTCTTTTTAGCCTCAATTGAAAGTTAAAGGATCAAGTTTTCTAATTTCAGATGCAAAATACTGTTGTCTATTTCAAACAGAAATTAAAATGATTTATTAGTTGAATCATTATCCCACCCACCGATGGAAAAAAAAAAAAAAAAAAATTTTTTCTTGACAGATTATAAACAAAACATTTCTCAGTTTTAAAAATTTTGCAAAAATTAAATATGAAGTTAAATTAATAACATTCCATAAATTAAGTTACCTCTAATTTTTTTTAATCCTTCCTAACATGTTTGAAATTTTGGTTACTTTTGCGTGTCAGCAGTGTACACATTTTAATCAAATCAGAGTAATTTAACTTTGCTAATTTTCCTCAACATTTCAGAAAAATGTTGCATTTTACAAAATTTTTAAAAATGAGAATTGTTTTTTTACAAAAAAAAAAAAAAAAATTTTTTTTTAACCATTTAGCTTCCAATTAAAGTTAAAATGAAACCTCGTTCATTTTTAAAACTTAGGTATTGAAAATTAGTGAAGATGCTTACCAAAAAATAAAATGAGAGAAGATAACTAATTTCATATGTAAATTAAATAAAATAAAATATAAACATTAGGTTTAAAATGAAATAATGGGTTACCTTTCAAACATTACCAAAATATAACTCAAATTTTTTTTTTCTTAACCAAGTAAAAGCTAAACACTATACTAGAAAATTTAGATACTACCCCACAAAAATTATTTTCAATATTTCTATTAAACTATTCAATTTTTGCTTAAATATAAGTTTTAACTTAATAAGCTAACTTTGATGATGTTCGGAAGAATTTTAAATGCTAATTAAATTAGTTTTATTTTACTATTTGGAGCAGATTTTAGGTAGCTTGGTATTAGTTAAAAAAAAAAAAAAAATGGGGAGGGGGGGTAACATATGTATAAAAAATTTTTTTTTTTTTTAAACTAAGATTAAAAAAATAAATTCATTCATTTGTGAATAAGTCCTGAAAGTTTAGTTAAAATCCGACAATTCGATTTTTGCAAGAATTTCAAAATTAATGTGTTATTTTACCGGAAACGGTGACGCGAAAATCAAAGATTTTTAACAAATTTCGAACGTGTTAGAAAGCAATAAGAAAAAAAAAAAAAAAAATACTTTGGTCTTTCCTCTTAATAACATTTTGGCATAAAAAACATTGCTTTTTTTTAAAAAAAAGTTTGGGGCCTCTTTTCATCATGGTATACTTCTTTTTCAGCAAATTCTTGGAGGTAACTTTGTTTATTGGAAATCTCAGCTCCGGATTGAAATTAAAATAAGTGTCAAGATTTTTAATTTTTTTAAATGCACTTTAAACCCTTTGGGTATTATTACTTTTTTGATAACTATTTAAAATTAAATAGTAAATAATATTTAAAAAAGGTGAAACAAAAAAATTCAAGTTATTTTTTTCATAGAGCCATTAAGAATTTTTTTTAATGTTCCCACAATTGAACTTATTTCCAAAATGATTAAAACATTTTTATAAAATGAGAAATATTTGCATAAACTTCACTCATCAATAAACTTGCATATGCAATTTTGTGCAGAATTGTGTATTGTACGCTAACCGCAAGACATACAAATTTCGAATATATCATTGATGCTCCCATCAACAGAAACAGTTTCCATTAGTTGCCGGTCTCTATGACAACTGTAGCGTTAGTCAAGATATAAAAAGAAGTCAAATACAATTAAGAAGACTAAGAGTCTCCAAAATATTTTCAGAAAAGTTCATGCTTAAGTGCATTTTTAGAGAAATATAAAAATTTACAGAAATTTCAATTTGCATAACAATTAGTTCAAGCTGCAAGATATTTTTAAACCTAAAATAAAATATCTATTATAAAGATAAATAAAAAGCGTAATTTAATCAAAATTCACATGACTTTTCTAAGTAAAAAAAAGTCATGTGAATGTTTATTAATTACGCTTTTTATTTTTTTTATATTTCATTTTACTTTACAAGCTTAAATGTCAGCAGTCACTAAAAAATAAAAAGTGAATCTGGAGAAATTTGCCCGCCAAAATGGAACAGATTTTGGCATCGTTATTCTTTGAACTACTTAAAGTATGATCAAAAGCTTATCGGCATCTGAAAAACAAGCTTAAAACAGAGTAGTCCGCTTTCATTCTAATCTTAGCTTGTGACAAATTCGATAGATGACACGTCTGAACATGAACACGAAGAAAAATAGGACACACATCGGTAGCTATCTAGGCACATGGGCTTCAGAGCTTTAGAGTATTAATTGAATATAAGTTAATTTCGTAATCTAAACCTGATATCAACAATTGAAGCAATCTTAAAATTACAAAGATATTTGCAACTTTTAAAATTGAGTGAAGGCTCAGTCATTTTTAAAGCATTCATTTTATTTTTCATGAACACAATGGTTTGTTTTTTTTTTAGGGAAAGAAAGATACATTTACGGAAACTAAGCCAAAAACACTAATTTATATCTATTTAAATGATTTTTTTCTAAAAAAAAAAAGTTCTGAATACTCGTAGATGTACAGGAAAAAAAAAATAAACGAGTATCAGTAGTATCGTGTGCGATCATCGAGAGTTTGTTAACATAGGATCATAAGAGTGAAGCGGAAGCGGAAAAATCACGTGATGCAGTTGCTGCTGGCCGCCCAAATAATATCAAGAAATGACTTGAACCTCAACAGGGTAACGATGGGGGGGGGGTAATAACTTGTACACGGTTATAGCAGATATCAGGTTTAAACAAATATATTTTTTAATGAGAGGTTGAAAAATGAGTTGAGTTCTATTCTTTCTCGTAAGGATGAGACTGTCTGGACTAATTACCAAAAGCCGAGCATTTGTGGGTTCAATCAATGACTATTTCATAAAGCAAAAAAAAAAAAAAAAAAGAATGCGAGCTTCTTACGTAATTTTTTGTAGTTACCGACACAGACGGTCAAAGAAAACACTATCCTTCTTTTTTAAAGTTCCTCAGCGTTATGTTTAGTTTATTACTTTCCAGACGCAGAAAAATGGAAGATATGTAAATTCCTTAAGTTTAAAAGAAAAAAAAAAAAAGGGATTTCCATTATTATTTTTTTCTAAAACGGAAGCGTGGATTAACAATTATTTTATCATTAATTAATGTAGCCAGCTAATCATTCAGTTCAGTCAATTCATAATTCAACCTGATGATCGAACAGAAGTACGATGAAAAGGACACCAAAATATCTTATAATTTAGAGAAACATTCGCAGATAATGGCTTGAGAAAAAAAATCATTAATAATGGAACAATTCAATTTTTGAGAAATCGACAAAAAAAAAAAAAAAAAAAAAAAAAAGGCTAATAAGGGATTTTGAGAGACTAAAGAAAGAGTAAAGATATTGATTGAGGAACAACCTACAATACAAGCTAGAATTGAAGTTAAAATAAAATAAAAAGCACCATGTCATCATACACATTCAAACTCTTTCGGCACAATCAAGAATTTTTATTTATATTGATCCAACAAGTCAAAAGAGTAAATTATTTAAACTAAAGATAAGTTAAAAAATAAAAAAAACCTTGTGAAGATAAGTAGCAACTAAAACACTGAAATAAATAAATCACATCCAAAAAGGGTTAATGTTACCCATCGCTCCCCTTAAAAAACACCGATTAAAAATAAAAAAAAAGAAAATCAACAAGTCTGTTAATATGAAATTTGCTCCCCAGTAGAAGGAAAATGCAACCGCGCCCAATTGGCCCATGTGCAAGCTGACGTGTCTTAATGAATGCGACTTCTTAAAAAGCAAACACGGATATTTTGTTTAATAAAAACAAGTTTTTACACTAATACATGCAAAGTAATATATTTTTTTAGCTGGAGCCGCATCGGATTCTTAGAACTCATCTATTCTAAAATTAATCTAAGAATTTAAAAAAAAAAAAAAAAAACTAAAAGTAATACGATTGTTTTTAAAAGAAAACATGATCACTGCACACCTAATTTAAAGTCTTTTGCAATGTGAAATCAAATCTGTTCCATGTAAATTAAAAAAAACCCTATGACCGAGTACATTTCCATTTTATTTATGAACTACAATATCCATTGGGTTTGAGTTTGAATTTGATAAAAAAAAAAAAAAAAAAATTCAAAATTGAATGTTTTCGATTTGACGCCAGCGTCACTAAAACGTGCAAATTTTTTTATTGAAAATTGCGGGTTTTGAACAAGGAAATTTGTACGATTTGCCGTACATATTTTTTTTTAAACATCAGAAAAGTAAACAAAGCATAGATTTCCCTACAATTTTCTCATCCAGTTCAGCTTTTACATTACGAATGTTTAAGATAGTAAAAACAAAATGAACATATTCTTAAAACAAATTTTACAATTAAAATTGCTCAAGTTCTGAAAATTTACTTATGCCAAGTTTGCTACGGCTTTCACTTCAACATAGAATGTGGGGGGGGGGGCAATTTACGTTGTTATTAGTAACAAAGACTAAGATTATTTAATGTTCAATCACTAATGATTTTTACTGTGTGTATGGAAACATTTTTTTTTAATTTCAATAGCACATAGCTTATTTGCGAATCAATTCAAAGTTTTAAAAAAGGTAATGATTATTTTTCCCGGAATTCTTAACTAACCCAAGTCATCAGATTATCACCTACTTCCATTTTAAAATTAGAACTAAAATATTCAAACAGAAGCTTCTTTTAGAAAGACTACTCAACTCCACCGCCTAACACAATTCGATTAAATTAAGTCTAGTAAATTTAATTTTAAATAAGTTAGTTTTTCTGAAAGCCCTTATTTCAATATCGAACGGCACCGGTATTCATTTGGCCAGTAATTAAAGTTAGATCTGAAGTTATATTCGAATATGTAATAATTTTGAAAGCATTAACAACTGACTAAAGAAAAAGCGAAAAACAAGTAGAAGACATGGTCTTAAAACAAACAAGGAAGATATGTTTAAAAATCCAATCGAGTACTTCCGTCTCATGTTGTGGATAGTAGGTGCTGTTATGTATGAATTATTTAACAAGGATGCTGAAATGTTCTCAACCCAAACAAGAACACTTTCCAATATTTTATATCTGCTTAGATTTTTGCCTTTTAGCAACCGAGTAGTCAAGATACCCTCGTGTGTGAGTGTAAAACAATACAGTTGATTCTTCGGAAACGATTTCATCAAATCGAAATTATTTTATAAAATGATAAGGGGGGGGGGCAAAACTTTGGAAACTGAACTGTCTACTTTTAAACGTTGATGGATCGATGGTTGCGCCAAAGCTCACATGGGGGCACGGTACACACACACACGTTCATTTCAAGCATAAAAAAAAAACATGAATGTTAAAACATTTTAAACAGGGACATTTTTCTTTACTCCATATGCACAGTACATAATTAAGAAAAGTACAAAGACTCATGTATTTTCTTCATGAATAAGAGTTTCTTAATTTTAAATATTGAGGAAAGACCAAAACAAAAAAAAAACAAAAAAAAAAAAATCATGCCCTAATTTAATATAGTTACAGTATCAGTCTATCACCCCCAACATAATTAGGGAGTGGCATTTATCTTCCAATTTAAAATATTTTAATAAAAGCGTTGCTATCTGAATAAAATAAAATAAAATTTCATAAAAAAACTAAATGGGAATGTGATTTATTTAAGCATTTCAAGTCTTATATTATATTATATATAAGATATCAAAACTTAACCGAACAATTTTGAAAACAATTCACAAGCGTCTCCTTCGCCCTTTAATTTATACGTTTCCCGGGATTCCACGATTTTTAAAGATTTTAAGTGGGGGACCGATTTTATACTTCTTATCACTAGAAACCGAACCCCCACTTACAGAAGTAGCAATTACCTTGCAAAATCCCTCTTCTGAGCTTTTAAAAAGATAAATCTGCAGATATAGTTTAACCGAAAACAATCAGTGAATAGGTTTTTTTAAATATATATAATTTAAAAAAAAAAAAAAAAAATCATAAAAATTACTTTTTAAAAAATAAAAAGTTAAAAAGCAGTTATATTAAATAAGTGAAGTATATTATTTTTGGTTAAGGATAAATACATTTCCTTAAAAAAAATATAATCCCAATTCTCGTCTTGCTACAAAAATCCTAAATAAATAAAACCCAACTTGTAAAATTGGGGAAAAAAAAAAAAAAAAAAAAAAAAGAAATCCACAAAAAAATAATTTCCTGATATTTTTATCTTTTATAAACACATACTCTACGACACGTTAAACATGAATTTTCAGAAATATTTTTACTTTATATACTTTAATTTAAAGGTTCATAAAAGAAACATTAAAGCAACGAAACGGTGAATTTAGTAAAGAAAGATTTTATGGAGATAGATAAGACGTTAAAGGAGAAATATGGAGCAATCATTTAAGGAAAAAAATGTTTTCTTGCTGATTTTTAGAAACTAAAGAGAACATAAATGTTCAATATAAGGAGGATATTAATTAGGAAATATCAGACAAGTGGACATATACTCACAATTAAAACCACAGAAAAATGTTGTCCCTTCTCTTCTGTACGGCAGCGAGCAGCCGCTTTACCTTTTTTTCTGCAGACACGCTATTATTACTTACTAACGTATATTATTAGCGCGATGCTAAAAATGAAAAGAATAAACGGAACAGGCCAGCAGTTAAATATTAGTAGGCGTATGTACGCTTGCTTAGAGCAAAGTCGTGTATATGTGTCAGCCGTAAAGGTGGCTGCAAGGAAGAGACCGTCTTGCTGAAGTGTTAAGAGCAGGCACTGTAAAATGGCCGAAGCATGTAAATCTGACCTCCTTACAAGGCCCCTTACGTGCTCACGCACATAAGTCTTGAACAATTTAAAAACCACGAAAATCGCAAAAAATCCAAAGCATCGATTAAACTTTTATAGAAAATCAAAAAATGAGTTATAACACGTATTTTTTTATTGAATTAATGAGAGAGCTTTTGCCTCTAAATTAAAAAGTAAAATTATAACTCTTTCATTATGTTTATTGTTTGAAATTTTGCTAAGTAATATGCTATATATTCGCCAGCATGTCTTTTACTTTTTTTGTTTTAAATTAATTATTTACTTATAGGTACATTTACATGTACTTGCTTACGCTTTATAGGAAAAAAATGTAACAGGAAGAGCTTAGAGGAAAAAGGAAGTAGGAGGTGTAGTGAATTTTTCAGTACATAAGGGGCCTCACCGGTGACTTCATATTCGAATGGCAGGCGGAATGTACCACATTCCAAGAGAAATAGTACAGGACTACACAACGAATTGCTCGGGTACATACCCTACTTTTTTTTCCGAATTTGAAGAAAAAACAAATAGTAGAGAGATATATAGATATTTCGACATCTACGTATTGAACAATGATTTATTTTCACATTTGTTTATGTTCTATTACCGTTATAGCTAAAAACCCAGTGATTTGATTTGCACCAGGTGCAACTTCAAACTTATTATTGTTTATTGACGGCTTGCATTGTAACTTTATTTTTTAACTATGATTCTATTTTATATTCTAGGGTTTCATTTTTTTTTCAATTTCTGGCTATAATGTTAAAATTGTGAATATTCGACAAATATTATCCACTTTTCTTCTACCATCCTATCTTACTTCTCTCTCTAGTTCCACGTTTACTTTCAGTCTCTAGTTGATTATTTAATTACTTTTTTTCTTTTTAATTGTTTACAGTCTCCCCTTTCTTTGCCACCGACCTCAATTTCGTAATTATTTTTATATTTTGGAGACTTCGGTACAAAAAGCTAATGGATTTGAATATTTTTATTACTCCATTGCACTAACTCATTTTCAAGTTAGAGAAAGTAACAACTTTTTTAATCAAGTTATAAATTTATAAATACAGTCTCTCAGACTTTATTTAATGCTAGCAATGATTGTTTGGTGTGTTTTCTGGGGGCTTGTAAAATCTTGCATGGCAATAAAAGTGAGAATAGATGACCGTTTTTTAAGTATTTCGCAAGTTGCTATATAAAGCTCAAAATTCCATAACTAAAAACTTTTTAGTAAAAAGTGAAATTCCTTCTAAAATCAAATGGAGAAACCTTGTTTGTTTACAATTTTAACAAGGGAATTTTTTTTTTTTTTTATATTGTGCAAACAAAACTAACCTTATGACTTGTATAACCCCCCCCCAAAAAAAAAAAACTATAAAAATGAAAAACTTTGGGTTTTTTTTTTTTTATTTTTGAAAAAAAAAAAAAGTAAAAACTTTCCATATTAATTGCAAAATATGCTTATGCACTTAATATTTTTTATGCCATTGAAACAATGTTGTAAATGAAATGTAAACATTCTAAAAAAAAAACAAAAATTTCTTCTCTTCATTTTTAAAACATTTTTTTTTATAAATTGAGAATAAATTGCATTTTCCACACCCTTCCCTACATTCAACATTAACAATTCAAAGCTGAGCATTTTTTAAATATATTTAATGCTATAAAGTTAATAATTTCAGTGAAACCTATTTAAAGAGCTATTCTTTTTTTATGGTAAAAGCATTTTTAAAATTAATTTTTTTGAGCATTCTTATTTTTTTATCTTCTACAACCTGACAAAAAAAGGCTTACTACAGGTATTATATTCCTACTTGTCTGTTTTCTTCAATATTGAGACCTATGAATAAACAACCGAAGCATAATATCCACTTAGTTTTGGTATCATCTCTATATTATTAGAATATAAATCAAACCAGTCATAATTATAGTAAAAATTGATACAGTCAAAAGTTTGAATTAAAAACCAACAGAATGATAAGTTTGCAGCCATATTTTGCATTAGTGAAGATTGTTCCATTCTAAAGAAAATATTCACAAAGTGAATTTTTTTAAACAAAACTTTCATTAAAATAGTTTGTCTTGTTTGTTGCTCAAAATTCATTATAGTATTTCATTTGTGGAGGTTAGATATTCTTAAAATTTCAGAAATTTATATTATAATTCAACTGATGCCAAAATATGCACTTTACAGTCCAAACATTTTTGCACTATCCATTAAAATAATTTCACACTTTGAGCCTAATCTACACATTTGTTTATAGTCTGTCTAAACACATTAAATTTTATATTGATTAGTAAATTTAAGCATCAGTACAAAGCCGTGTCTCTACATACCATGTCGGTTATTTCTTACCTCAAATTATTTAATACAGATTTAGTATCCTTTATCAGAAATTCAGAATCTGAAAGTTTTTTAGGTGCTGACTTGTTAAAAAATGGAAAATTTTAGAAAGCACTGGCAAGGTTCTTAGGTGATGTGCATCTGTTGTAAGTGACCTCATTTGCCCTGGGTGGGTGTTCTCCAGCTCAGCTACGTAGCCTAAGTTGGCACCAGTTTTTTGGTTAGTGATCGTCATTGCAACACCTTTGTTCATGGATTACTTACCAAGTGTCATGTCGCTCGGTAAAGATATTATTCAAAAAGTCCTACAGATACCTATATGGGTAGTAAAAAGAAAACATTTATGTTTGTCAATATCACAGAAAAATCTAGACAGGTGTGAAAGAGGAGGATTTGGGCATCGAAACAACCACCATATACAATCGAGAAACAGAAAGAGCAATTGTTAAAGTTTTGTGATGAACAGAAATTAATGAAAATCTAGAAAAAAAATGATGATCTTGATCATTTTATAGATGCTATATACAAATTAAATAGCCTGCATTTCAAGATCTGAAAACCGAAGCAATTCCAGTCCCAAGAATTTCGTATAAAGGATTCTCAACCTGTATTCACTTTCATACTTGTAAAAATCAATTACTCTCAAATATTTGATTGGTTAATCAAAAAGTGTTGCATTTTTTAAATCTATATAAGTACTGTATATTTATTAATAGTATCTTTTTATACAACTTTATTGAATCAGGTTTTAAATATACATTAATTAAAATTGCTTAGGGCCATCAAGGCTTTTTAATATACTGGTTTGCCCCTTCTGAGTAATTTAAGATCGCTATCTATGCAATTAACTCTACTGTTGCATGTAAGAACGTTGCTTCTTAAATCATTAAAATTAAAAATATTCCAAGAAAGCTAACATGAAACAAAGCAATGTATCAGGAGCCTGAATCTTCCTACTTACTAATGAGATATTCTGTTATGGTAATACAACTTCACTTATTGGTGAGGTTTACCATTACAATAACAATGGAATATTTCATCTTAAATAGGGGAGATAAGTATGTGTGACTGATAAATAAATAAAGTCACATAGTCTTTTAATTACTGTCAGACTAATTTTAGTAGTGCTGTTATTATAAGGATATTAGTTTAAATGTAAATAATACAAGTAATATTTCCTCATTCCCGAAATTCACACATTGTTTTTTATAATGGAATAGATTATAAACTCTTGTGGTATTCACTGCAGTTTGATCCTTTGGAGTCTCTGCTCTCAAGAATTTTGTGATAGTAAAATGTAGATTAAAAATATAGGTTTTGCATTAAATTTTATCAAATGATTCAATTGTAATACAAAATGTCTTATAGTAATTGTTACATTTAGTGTATGAAATGTGTATTATGGGACAGAGCTAATATTTAGATTCAGTATTCAGTTAATGATTAAACAATACCACAAGTTGCATGCCATATTTTTTTCATGTCTTTTACATAAATAATTTTCCAGTATCCTTGGTTCTAGAATCATGTCAGATTATCCATTATGTTAGCCCAACAGAACTTGCATGGTAACAATTCAATAATACACACAAATTATACATCTCGTATCTCTACAGCAATATCAACTGTTAAAAACTAATATCAAACTATTATTAAATACAATACCACCTGTGACTACTTGGTGAATTAGTGTTGCAATTGCTTGAAATTTAAATGCTTGTGCATAATTTTGCCCAAATTAAAAGAGGTGACAAATGATTGGTTGCCAGAATATTGGTTGTGCATATATAGTTGCAAATCTAACAATTTTGGGACATGGTATTTAGATTGAATTTTCTGTTCGTGAATAAACTACAATTTTCAAGGCATTTTTTTTTTTTTTTTTTTTTTCATAGCTTAAACTCTTTTACCCGTATCCTGTTTTCAGACATTATATATAAATCTTGTGGAATCTGTTCAGAATGTAAATATATATATATAAAACATTTCATTTTAAAATTCTTTCTAATCTTTATGCATTTTTATTTCTTTTTAAATATTTTTGATTCTTTTTAGCACAAAAATTACTTTTAAAAACCATTTGCTAACACAGATTATACTAGAAATGTTTATATATCTAGTTGTATACATTGACATTTTGTGTGTATTTGAAGTTTAGGAATAGATAGCAAAGTAACTCTTATTGTAATAATACAAAAAAAAATCACTTTTAAATCATTGCTTGATCATTTACTAGTTTATACACTCAAGATGAAAATGTACTATTATCTTTCACTTTCAAATACCTAATAAAAATTATTCTTTTTTTTATGTACCATGTTCATAGATTATGACTCTACATTTTCCTGTTTTTTTGTTGCTTTAAGTAACTTTTTACCTGTTACCATCCTATCCTTCTTTTGCCATCAATTCATTAAAACTCATTAAGTAGGCTATTCATTGTTTCCTCCCTCACTTCTCTGGCTTTCTGGTATGTTTTATGAGTATTCATTTTTATAGGCCCTCTTTCCATTGTGTATCCCTGAAATTTCATTCTGATTGTAAATATCATTTTCCTTATATAGGGTGTTTCATTAAGACGGATCAAAGTCAGCAGTAAATAAATCAGTGTTATTGGTGAAAATTTATTTATTTCTCTATTGGACCATGTTATTTAAGTCATGACAATTATGTGTGAAAAATAATATCGCTCAAATGTCTGCCAAAGCTTCAGCGGCACACCTACACTCGATGGTCAAAATTTTTGATGCATAGTTGCTCTTCGATCTCACCAATATCCTTCAGCTGTTCAATTATTGTTGACTTGTTGACAGACCTTACTTTTGAGATAACCCCAAAGGAAAGTCGCACAATTGTGGTGGCCAATTGACTTCACTGTCTCAAGAGATGATGTGACCTGGTAACGTCTCAATTCATTTCTGTTTGAACGTCCATTTTTGTAATAAGCTTTGATAACTTTAACACATTGTTTGATTGTTAATCTTTCCATGGTTGAAATTGCCAAAGACTTAAGTTGTTAAATCTGAAAGAAAAAGAAAAAAAACATTAGACACTTAAACTTAATTCATATTTAAAATCGGTCCAAGTTTAGTTTCTAGTTTTAAAACTTTCTCATTGCTCATATATTATCCATTATATTCTTAGCAT